CGACAAAAGATGAGTTTAACTTAGTAGACTTCTCTTAATCTCATCATCCAACCAACATAATAATATTTATTGATCTAAATAAAAATATAACATATAATCAAAAGCGGAGTAACATATAATAATGGTAGCCATAGGTGCAGTTGGCGGCAAGATAAGAGCAGTGGACGGCGATGGCTGTAGCAAGAGCAACAAGTGGCTATAATATAATAATTAGACGACTGTTGGAGTGGAAGTGGCAAGAAGCGGCAGCGATGCCAATGATGAAAACATTAAGAGTCAGTGGGGGCGCTGGCAAAATCAGCATTAGACGATGAACTAGGAAGATTAACTAGGGAAAGGGAAAGCTTTTGTGTGTGAGAGTGCAATTTTAGTTCGTATTTGAATCGTTTAATATAGAGGAAGGCATTGTGAGGCCAATGTGAGGCATGTGCCTCGCTTAAGCTGCTTAAGGCATACGCCTCAAAGTGTTTTTCATCGAAATTGCTCTAAGGTGGGCCACAAGGCGCACCTCATATTGCGCTTTAAAAATTGGTAAATAAACATCTCGGTATATTTGTGCAATGCACTTTGCACGATTTTTGTGCACTTGCAATGTACGCTTGGACGCATTTCAGAGCAATTTAAGGGTCATTAAGCAAGGCACTCACATTTTAAAATGTTACAATTTTAATACTTGCACATTCTTTGAGGTCGTAAAACGCCTGAGTCTTGAAATAATTTTAAATTTTAAAAAAAATTGCACAAATATTTTAGCATTGAAATATGTTCAAGGTATTAATTTAAATGCTTTCATTATTGTGTTTTGTCCATTGGTATGCCTAAGTTACGAATTCGGTGTTGATTTGATGTGAATCCCCCAAAGCTAGTGTAGAGGCCCTAACCAGCCTTCTCTGGGAGATGTTGAGATCCGAGCTTGAGCTAGACATGCGCCGCCATTCTGGTGTCTCCAATGTTTTAGAAAGTGAGTGAAGTTCCCACTATGAGAGGAAGAATAGCTTTCGCCCTAAGGCTTCGAAGAAATTGGGACCATCGGTCGGAATGTTTTGTGGATTCCGAATAGCTATGGCATATGCCTTTTGCTTTTTATAGACTCGAACGAACTTGAACTAGCTTTGCAGACAAATAAGTTCAAAAGAGATTGAACAAAGTCTCTCCGGTCGAAATTGTTTGGATGCAGATGAGGGGCGGATCCGGTGTTGGACTTTCCGGATCATGCTAAGCCATCAAGATTCACTTGATCGGCAGGTGGGTGGAAGAAACAACTAGTGAAGATTCAGGTACTCATACTAGGTTCTAGGTAACTTTTTGGCATTCTATGATCAGAACTGGGCTTCCCAAAAACGTTGATTTCATGGTTCTTCCTAGACCTCCAAGACTTGAAGCGAAGCATGCAATTAGGCCATCCTTTAAGTAAGCCTCAAGTCAACTTTTCCTACCCAACGATTGTCGTTGCCACATCATTGTTGTTAACTCTAACTTACTAGCGCATCACAACATTCCAGGAGCTACTGGACCGGGTGGCAAAGCTGAGCGCTAGCTCGACTGATAAGGAGAGGGTAAGGAAATACTATATGAAATTCCTAGCATTATTCATCAAAACCTGTCCAAATGGATTATTTCGATATAGAAAATAGAAATTCCAATGGCTTTTCAGACTATGACCTTCCCGATCACGATTTTGTCTTTCTTCAAGGTATATCGTCCTCACAAATTGAATTTCTTCCTTTTTAAAGTTGTTGTCGAACCTAAGCTTGAAGAGCTTGTTCCCATTTATAGAAAGCCATCTTGGCGCGTAGCAAATTATCAAACTGAATATTTTGGTGCGGGCAGGCCGGACAGATTCTCGTTTTTTTGGACTTTATTTTTTTAGTCCTAGTTGTAGACTTCATTACTTAATCTTGATATTGGTGGTTGGGGAAAAGTGCAATCACTGAGGAGGGGAAGTTTCTCGTCTTTTAAAAAAATACACAAAAAAAAGAATTGAGAAAAGGGGGTTTGAAAAATCTATTGCACGACACGGCAACATATTTTTGAGTTGAGACAAAAAATCATTATGATTTACTTGTTCCTAAAAATATTCTATCTGGAGATGGCGACTAGGGTTCGCCAGTTCAGGCTCAACTCCTCACTTAGCGTTAGCGAATCTACAAGTTGGGGCGGGCACGCTCTTTTTTTCCCGATCCTGAGAAAAAGCTTTGGCCTCGTTTTCCATAAACTACTTTTTTTAGGAAGGTGTCTTTTCTTGCTCACAGCTACAATGAGCGCAAACCGGGCAGCACCTTAGGATGGCATAGCTTCGCGTGAATGGCGAGGTTCAAATGTGGAAAAGCGAATTAATTGATATTTGTCAAATTTTTGAAATGACTTACTATGTACTGTATAAAAGAAAAAGAACATAACCATTTTAACCCTTAATTCTCCTATGACTAAGATTCAAGGGTCTATATTGAAGTGGTCAAACCAAATAGAAATAGATTCCCACGACACTTGCTAGTTCGTTATTCCAAAGGCTCGGCCCCATCATCCAATTCGCTCCTGAGTGGGACGAGGATTTTTAGGAATGGATCTATCTTGTCGTTAGTTCCATAATCATGAATCTCTGATGCTGCTGCAGACTTGAGGGAATCGATTTTGCATCTTTCTATTGTCCTGTCCTCATCTTGCTATAGCTTCTTTCTGTTCGTTATTCCAGATGCTCGGCCCCATCATCCAATTCGCTCCTGAGTGGG